AATAACTAAATATATAGACACAGAGCTGTGCTGCGACCAGTGCATCAAGTTTGCATGAACCGAGTTCGAACTAAGAAGCATTAACTGTAATATTATGGCTAAAGTATTATGCAACAGTCACGGAGGAGAACAGCGATTTGTGATAGGTTGCGAAGCGCTCGATGGTGTAAAGGAGTACAAATTAGGACAGGTAGTAACTGCAAAACCAAAGCGCGATAGTGAAAATAACTAGAAGTACAAGGATGAAGTGGAACACATTAAGCAAGCACTCTCAACTCCTGAATGGTAGTTCACCCAAAGTCATGAATCGAGTACTTACCTTAAAAGCAGAAACTTGAAGTGCTACAAAGTGAGTTACACTTAAATTGAGTTCGCTGCTTTAAGCAATGAAAATGATCGGTATAACCTAAGAAGACACAGAGAGACTGGTACCGCCATTGAACAGGACAACACCGTGCACTACCATTAGAGCAACGCCCGGAAAGGCTGTACGCTAGCTTTTCTTTTGTAACCAATAAATCAGTTTTCTTGTAGCCACCACCATGTGCATACACTCTCTGCAGCTCTTTTTTGCAAGAAGTTATGTGATTGCTTTCGCGCGTTCCGAAACTTCAGTGTAGCAGGTCTTGCTAGCACAGCATAATTATATTTAGCCAATGATGCAAAAACAGCTTACTCACCTGGAGTGCTATTGGTCGGCTGGCTTGAGAATCTGCAACAGGAGCAGGACAAGCAGATGTGAGATTTACCACGCTTCATCACGGTACACCCCCTCACATGACTTCCTTCCCAGCATGCCTACACTTCTTGCCTGTTATTCTTGGGCGCTGAGGTTTCACGCTCCAGGAGCACGATACGATTATGAGGGACGCTGCAGGGATCCAGAAATTTTACCACTACTGGTGCTTTACCGTGCGCACGGGAATCTGACATTTTGTCTCCGTAAAAATGCAGCTGCTATAGCCGAGACTTGAACCCGCAACCTTGGCCCGCCATGGTGGTCTAGCGGCTGAGGCACTTGGCTGCTGACCCGCAGGTTGCTGGATTGAATCTCAATTACGCGGCTGCATTTTCGACGGAGGCGGAAACATTGTAGGCCCATGTGCTCAAATTGCGGTGCACGTTAAAGAACCCCAGGTGGTCAAAATTTCCGGACACCTCCACTACGGCACCTCTCGGATTCATGTGGTGGTCGTGGGACGTTATACCCCACATATCAATGAATCAATCAATCAATGCATCAATCAATCAATCAATCCTGCAAAGTGCGCCTCAGCATCAGCACGCTGTCTGAATCTTGACATTGGGATCCTGCCCCATGAGCGCTATGTTTTCACGCATACTCACATGAGAAGTCTAAATGATGTAAGCCAGGTTTCTTCATATTGGCGATTATATAAGCCATAATGACATGGGATCCGATCTCGCGCAGCGGCGGCTTTCTCTGCCCGCCCGGCTGCCGCGAGGGCGCGCTGAGAGGACGCGCTGACTGACGATTCCGGCGCGCAGTGGAGACCGCAGCAGAAAGCAGAGCGCAAGGCATATACCAGCATGCACATTTGTTCATTTAAAGATTGCTTTTTTTTCGTTCCTCATCCGTTCAGTGTTCGTTTTAGCGCCCGAAGTATCTGCCAAACGCTATAAAACTGACAGTAGAAATGGTGGTAATAAATGATTCAAACGCGATGGTAACCTGTCCGCAGTCGTCGTACCACCAATGATTTTCAGTTTATACCACAGTGGTCTAGACATATGTCGATCGCCTTTACTCTCCTCCCTGTCTCTTGGTTCTGTGGAGGGACAGAAAGGAAAACCGGGGAAGCCTTGCGGGTGAGTAAAATGCATTGTGTGCTGGCAGCGCAGCTATCTCGCTCAAACTAGCACCGTCGGCGACGTCGCGAAAAGATAGCATGCCAAGCGCTGATCCCGAGTGCCGAGTTTGATCGGCTAATTTACCGTACCTCTCCAGCGTGTGCTTCACCCTATTTCTATGTAACGCGCTTATAATTAGGCTCTGACATGGTTACCTTGCGTGGATGCGTCGCTAGCCGTGCGGCCAGAATCACAAAAAAGCGGCAACATAGTGAATTTTTCGTTCTTAACGATATTTTCTGCTCTTGACAATATAAGAAGTGGAGTTCTAAAAAAACACCCAAATGTTTTTCACAGCAGAATAAGCGCCAAAGCGCGAATGAAAACGCATAGCTCTGTAACATTGTCTCTAGGGCAGACTCCATTCGTTTGAAGGCATGTTAGCGAGTGCTTCATTAGCGTTATTTTAATTTTCACAACCTACATTCGAGTTAACATTCATCCATGCATATGGGAGAGGAGGGTACCAATCTGCTTCATACATTGACCTAATAAGGACAGGCGGGGGGTTGCTGCGACAAACTTCCATACCCTCAATAAGGAATACTTCATACGCCTATGCACCCACTCAACTACTCGAAGTCGTCGACAGCCAGGCAATTAGTGAGCCACAAACACGCAACAATAAACGTGACAATCTCTAAAGTACCGAGCAACCCATTCAGCGTATCTTCGCATGAATGCATTAGGAATTCCATCTGCAATAACAGATCATTGTTTTTTTCATGTTTAAAAGTGTGACAGTATACCTTCATAGCCGATTCGTACTTCTGGCATATGTGACACGTGTGAAAATGATGTAACTGGTGCAGGAATAGTGTGACAAAAACATTTTAAAAGACAGTTTGGGGGACCTTAGCATGGTAGGAGGCAATTTTCGAACCGTCAATTATGGTTTAGTTGTGATGATGATGATGATGATATGTGGAGTTTAAGGTCCCAAAGCCACGATGTGATTATGAAAGACGCCGTAGTGGAGGGCTCCGGAAATTTCCACCACCTGGAGTTCTTTAACGTGCACCGAAGTCTGAGTACACGGGCCTACACCATTTACGCCTCCACCGGAAATGCAGCCACTGCAGTCGGCATTCGATCCCGCGACCTGCGGGTCAGCAGCCGAGTACCTTAGCCACTAGACCACCGCGGTGGGGCGTTTCTTTGTGACAAGTGACGCCAAAACTTTCGTGGGGAAGACAGCACAAAGACTGTAACAGCGTTTATAATATTTCTTTTTACTTGCCCCAACTTTATTCGCGGTCATGGGGATAGGGCAGTTATATTTTCACAATTTTTCACTTTCCTTTGCCTTCCTATTTTTCTTTTTAGCTTCAGATGAATAATTTCTCGCATTATTCAAGAATCAAGCTTACTTCCTCTCTTTTTTCATAGTGGTAACAATGAGTTTACACAGTGTAAGACAATAGTTTTGAGTCTTGCCTAGTTTATGGGAAAACTGCCACTGTGACGCGTGAGGCCATCTAATCGAACACTTTCTTTTCTCTTATGCGTATGTCTCTAACCACCACCCACCAACATATTACAATAACGCTAACAACACGCGCTTGTCATTAGACTTTGGCATTGCATTTCTATCGCTTTCCATGCTACTAAAAAGTCATTAGTATTCCGTATGAACGTTGATGATTTTTCTATATTTCTCAGCAGCTCAGTTGCAAATGAATGGCCTCTGCAGGTTCCCAAGTGGCTCACGCAAAAAGCCGATTGGGAATAGTTTCAAATAGTTACTCTCTTTACCTGGACTGCTATGAGCGCGTTAAACATAGAGGCCGCTGTAGACTATTTCTCTGTAAAGTCCCTAAAAAAGCTAAAGTAGTCCCATTTGTGTCAATGTGCAGGTTCCTCTCCCCTTGCATGCATAGCAGATAGTAAACGACGCAAGTTGAGGGGCTGTATGGCTCCTGGCCGCAAAGATGGACGTGTGCTCATCTTTCCATTAGGGCTAATTTGGGCGCTGCGGTTTCAAGCGATGCACTAAAAGAGTGATTGAGAAAGAAAAAAATAATGAAAGTAACGTTGAATACGACAATGTGACGTGTATATAAGCAAGTGACATGCAGTGGCAAGAAACATCACCAAAATCATGAAATGTTCAACGTGATGGCCCACCGTTTGCGTGCAGACGCGCTCAGCGGTGATGCTCTCGATAGCAGCGCCACTGCTGTCCCGGTAAACTCTGCGGTGCTAAGGATCTGCAGCATGGCGCACTAGCTTTTGTGAACATATCGCAAACGCCATATTGCTTGTTCACTTTCGCGAACGCACGCTCCACGAACAGACACCACCGGCGTCCCCTTTCACCATAGCCTAGGCACGGCCACTCGATGAACACACGGCGCAACAGTGTCCGAGCTGCCCAAGCGTCTGGCACATCCAGTGTACACGCGTGCTTTCGCATTCGTAGTTTCCTGGTAGCCACTCTAGAGGCGCTGCTGTGGTAGCGAGGAGAGGAGGTAGAGGCGGAGGGGTGCAGTTAGCGCTACTTTATTTTTTTTCACGGACTTTACTTCTCTGCAACCAAATTTATTTCACAAATAAGCGGAATGTCCGGCCAAAAACATGGTTCCTGGTGAAATAATGAGTTCCGTGATGCAAGAAAAAAATCAGGAATGGAAGCTTCTTCGAGACTCGCCGACGTCACATGATCTTATAAACTTTAAGAACATGTAGCAAGAGCAAGTTGAGATCAAAGCAGGTGGTCGCTTCTGCATGAATGCTACCATGTTAATTTGCAAACGCAGTTACTGGGGGTAAAACACAAAAATAATTTTATGCATACGAACTAAATGCGAAATATAATCGTTTCACATAATGATGTGGCGTAACACACACCAAACGAATGCCAATATTAGTCAACTCGGTCACTTTTAAGGCACTCTATATATCAGGGACTATGTTTTTCTGCGTGACTGTGTGCCTTTCCTACACCCCATAGCTTTGGTAGTGATGAAACAAAGGTTTTGGGCCTTGTGTCAGCACGCACGCAAGAGGCCCCAATTGGCTTGGGTTCTGCGCATGCCCCCAGGTGCATCGCAAGCCTCTTGGGTTTCGAAGCTCCTTGTGGCTCCAATTCTCAAACGCTCTAGATGAAATAAGTCTAGGGACCTGAGGGAGAGTGGTCTTGATACAACACCACATGATTGGTAGGGCTGCTTGACTTGGACAAACGTCCCAGAACTTTCTCACGAAAATGTGATTGACGTGTTTCCTTCTCCAGTATTAAAAATGTCATCAAATGCGTTCGTTCGTCTCCCTCCTTTGTGGCTCGACGCAATGCCTCCGCTGAGTCACAGCGCTCGTGATGCCATGGCGTCGCAGCGTCGCGTCACCATAAATGGCCCGCATAGCGCCCCGAACAAAAACGCACTGTCTCAAAACACCGTATCTCTTACAAAGCCAGGGTAATCACCAACATTGTGGACGCGAGTAAAGCCACTGAATAAACACAAGGAATCCGAGACACCACCCCACCGATCTCTACAAAACTTAATAAAAATCACAGCTTATCCACCAAGTAAATGATGATGAGTGGGGCGAAGTGTCCGCCCATCAATACATCCGTCCATCCGTCCGTCTGTTCGTTCTTCTGTTCGTCTGAATAGATGAACGGAAGCGTGAATGGACAGACGGAAGGACGTACGGATGGACTCGCAGTTGGGTGGACGGATGGAAGCATGGACAGATGGATGCAAAGATTGACGGAGCACGGGCGACAAATGTAAGGACGGACGGCGAACTGACAGAAGTACGGACGGACGGAAGCATGGATGGATGCACGCACAGACAGTTGGACACCTAGAAGGACGAACGAACGCTCTGCCTCACTCATCATAATTCACTCCATGAATATGCTGTGTAAGTTAGTTACGCGCTCTACTTATATTAATCCCAAGAACATACACACCCCACGCCATCTATTGATCATGTCATAAACTAGAGCAGGCTACATACTACATACGGAGGAGGGAACGACGCTCGGCCTGAGCAGCTTCGTGTCTAAAAATTACTTCATGTGATTGCCGCCGTGAGGCACCGCATAAATGGTTCTCCCCCATAGCCGCAAAGCACTCGGGAAAGCTAGGCGATGGGCGAGAGCCAAAAAGCACTAAAGGAGGTGGTGGTGAACGGCTGGATAGGGTGCGTCTGGCTGGTACAGATAAAATTGAGGAGACGCTGACCAAACGTTGCCTCAGAATGGAAGAAGGCATCACTGCAAGGTGTAATAAACGCCATAATTTTTCATGATGATGATGACGATTAAAACATTATTTTGGTCCAGAGAAGACGCAGGGAAAGCACCGTGCCACCCGGTTTTTCCACGTAGGGACCGTCAAGCTGAGCCTGGTGACCCGTTCACGGGCACTCTGAACGGCCAAGGTTTCATTGTTAAGTTCGGGGCTGCGTAAGGGCACCTGTACTCGCTAAAGGTGGAGCCGATGGCGTCACATTACAGTGGTTGAATGTCGATAGTAGGGCAGTCCACACTGCAATACCGTTCAGGATACATGACTTGAAGTACCGCAGGATTAGGACACTCAGTGGCTTGCAATAGTGTAGGGGAACTGCCTGAGCCCTGCACAAGGCAGGGTGTGGGAGGAGGAATACCCGTCTTGACAGATAGAAGTGTTTAGTTATTTGATTGAACGTGAATAGGCGTTATCCGCGAGGCAGAAAGACTGCGGAGGCTGCGCCGTCAGTGAGTCCTCGCATGGCCTCGTGTGCGCGCTTGTTGGGGTTCGGGGTAGCACCCTCAATCGACCCCAGGTGAGCGGGGAGCCAAGTGAGAAGATGGGGCGTGATACTTTTGATGCTCTAAAGACTCTGGAGAGTCTGAGGGGCTACCATCCCAGTTTCGCAGGCATTCATAGCCGCCTTGGAGTCGCTGTATATTGACTAACTACGACTATCTACTATAGCCAGCGCGATTGCAACCTGTTCGGCTAGCACGGGCTTCTATGTGCGTACCTTGGTGGAGTGAGTGAGCCTGGAATTTCAGTCGACGATGGAAACAGCAAATGCTTCTCGTAGGACATTCTTTAATGTGAGGCAAAAAAAAATCCTCGGCCCGCACTACAAAGATTTAGCAGGCAACCCTCTTGTAGGACATATGGCGCAGAATCCACGAAGCTTGCATAAGTGGGCTTACTACGGACATGCTCGAGCAGAGCTCTACCCCTGGCCTATGTCGACCGCCGTTGTACGCATGGTGCATATTGCGGAAAATAGGTGTGATTTGCAGTTGACACCTGATGCCTAGAGGAACTGCGCAGACTCGGGTATGGTCAACAAAATTGAGGCCCAAATTGTCGATTATCTTGCGACTCTGTTCGGTTTTGGAAAATCTGAGCAGCTGTGGGCGCTTTTGCGCCTCGGTTATCTTTTCGAGCGACACTGCGCCGCTAAACTTGACGCCAACATAGGCCACAAAGTTATTCTTTCTTATTGGTAACAGCAAAGACCGGTCAATCTGTGATCTTGACATTTACAAATTTGCGGCGATGCCTTGACGGATAATTATGAGAAAAGAGCTACGTGTGACTTATTGTCGACAACCTTATCAAACGCATCCGCTGGCATCTGCTCGACTTAGTGAGGTGTAAACTGCGCCCATTGACCTCAGTGATCACATGATGTTGTTCACAAGTTAGCCGCTACCGCATCGTTCTAGACCGCTTTAAAGGAGGTTACTTTGCTGAAACAAAAGCAGCTCGTTGTTTAGCAGGCGGGAACCAAGAAACCCAAACACGCTGCGCCTCGTCGAGCTAGATTGCGAGAACATCTCGGAAACGTAGGATGTGATGTGCCTGAAAGAAGGTTCTCTTCGCCGCGTTCAAAGGAAAGGTTACTCGAAGCATCCGTGCACAGTTTGGAGGGATTATACGCCGAGCACCTGTAGCCACGCTGAGTGCGAGTTGCAACGCGCTGTGCTGTCTCACAATGGCGCCAACATTGCAAATCGCCGCCTACATAGAAAAAAATTAATTATTCTCGCTCCGTAAGCGGTACTTTCTGAAGCAGTCTAACGTTTGTCGCTTTCATGGTTCCGGCTTTGGGCCACTTCGCCCACTGCAACCGTGACTCATATTGAGCGCGATTGTATAAACGTGCGAGTGGAGTGGCCCGGCATGTGACGGCGTCAGCGGAGTAGGCGAAGCGCTACAGTCAGCGTAGCAATTACGCGATCACGGCATTAGGCGATAGTACCTTCCTTCATGACACTATGTCAGTTTATCGAAAATGTTTCAATTCCCTCGTGAGCACAAAGCAGGCATCGCTTCACGTCGCGAAAAGCTCTACTTAAAAAAAGCAGCTTGGTCGCTATGAGGCATTTTTAAGGGGGGGGGGGGGTCCATATGCAATGAAGTGCTGATATAATGACAACGTTTCGGGAAACTTTTGAGTTCAGTCATGAACGCGTTCAACTGTGTGTTTCTTATCAAACAAATACGCAAATCTCATTCAATAGAGTTTGCATCTTTTCTGCATCGAGTGCATTGAACGTGGGTGGTCAGATTTGTGAATTTGGACTGTGTAATTACAGCAACTCTGGAGTCCCTGAGTGCGCTGTACTTCGTACATTGAAAGTTGATTGCCTTAAGGTTGAAAATACACAGTGCACCACAGGCATGAAGTTCATAAAACAAAGTATCTCGTTCGCAAAAAGTTCAATAAATTGACCTAAATAAAATTATTCATACTTAGGTTCATCATTAAGGCTTCACCGTAGCTCTCATGGGGTAGCAGCAGGCTTTCTCATTAACGGCACACACTTCAGACCATTTCCGTTGATATTGAGAGTGTGATATGGAACACCGTTGTCGACAGCACTCTGCCAGTTGATGTAGTGCCTGGCTGCACAGGTCTGAAGACATAATGTGAAATATGCTCGGTCGCGGCGTCCCATAAATGCACACTTGATACATTTGGTTACACAGTTGGCCAATGTGCAAAACGATTGAACATGGGTATGACAACCCTGCATGCGATGTTTTCGCAGGTGCAAGAAGTACAGCAACGTAATAGACCACGCTTCCTTCAGTTCATGGCGACCTCAGCCATGCCACGATGTTACTTAGTTGGTGGAGAGACGAACTGCTCAGCCTCACCTGGAAGGAGCACATGAGGTTCTCGTCAACGCTCATAATGCCAGCAGCGTTGTCGAACACGCCACAGTAGTTGGGCGCCGAAAAAATTGTCACCAGTTGGCGCTTGGCAAAGAACTCGTAGCCATCTTGCACAACCTGAGCACGCGTAAAAAGGCGAATTCCCTTTACCCATTGAATGCTTTCAAATGCGAAGCATTTCTTAGCAAACTTCGGTGACTTTGAATCTATCTATCTATCTATCTATCTATCTATCTATCTATCTATCTATCTATCTATCTATCTATCTATCTATCTATCTATCTATCTATCTATCTATCTATCTATCTATCTATCTATCTATCTATCTATCTATCTATCTTTCTATCTATCTATCTATCTATCTATCTATCTGTCTATCTATCTATCTATCTATCTATCTATCTATCTATCTATCTATCTATCTATCTATCTATCTATCTATCTATCTATCTATCTATCTATCTATCTATCTATCTATCTATCTATCGCACTCTAAAACGCGGTTCCGAAAACATAGCGCGGTGTATTATTGCATCTCCGCCTTTGTTCCAACTACTTCTTCTCTCCTTAGCAGACTACCGACGACTAGCTTATGTCCCAAGTGTGTCGTGCCAGAAGAAGAAAAGTATGCCACATACAGGCCGCCCCCCCCCCCTGCAGACATGTGGCCGTGGGCACTTGAAGAAAAAAAATGGCAGCATATCCACAGAGTGAATGATGGAGAGTGGGGCGAAGAATTCGTCCGTCCATTCGTTCTTGCTTCCGTCCATCCATGCGTCCGTCAGTGTGACCGTCCATGCGTCCATTAGTGCGTCCGTGCGTGCGTCTGTTCGTGTGTCCGTCCCTGCGTTCGTCCATGCAGCCACCCCTGCGTCCGTTCATATGTCCATCCATGGATCTGTCTATGTGTCCGTTCGTCCATCTATTCAACACTCTAGGTACCACCATCTCGCATCTTTTCATCATATATTCCCCATATAGAAGCACCGCCATCCAGCGGACATTCCAAGGACTAAACGAGAGGTGGCACACGCACACTTTCTTACGGCTTGCGCTTCGTGTCTACTACCCACCTTTAACAACCTCGAGTTCATGGTATATACTAGTTCACTGTATTCATGGCACTGTGGCTCAACGCTCGCTAAACCTTTCTAAATCTATGAGGTTACACCCAGCGAGTATAACGTAGCAACCCTTTCTTGTCAGATAGTGCTCAATGTACATGCCAATGGCTGCTAATGGTGATCGCAGCCTGCGCGTTAACTAAAAGCCGAATGCTCCTGTCTCTCATTCCCCATCAGCAGCCATTGACATGTACATTGAGCACTATTTTTTATTGTTCAACAACGCACAGAAGAAGTCTCTCACCGGCACCACCTTGGAGGTCAAAATGTTATATCTGTTACAGACTACGAGGGACGAACGAGTGCTGCTATAAGAAGCTTCGCCCCTAAAAAAATGATCAGACGGAGCTTGTCAAAATGGGGGCCGGCTTGATCCTTTCAATGCTGAAATTGTCTTCATGCCCATTACGCAGGATTGTAAAATGATGTTCAGAACGCTTGATGATTGGGAAAGGACCGTCATAAGGAGGCTGAAGAGCACGGCGAGACGCATCGACACGAACAAAAACGTGTGAAGATGTCTGTAAGTTTGCCGGCAGAAAAACGTCGTTCTTAGTGTGAGCTGAAGTTGAAGATGTGCGCAAGTTTTGCATGAAGATCCGCAGACGCTGGACGAAAGAAGATGGATCCGAAACACTGCGTAGTAACGTGGCTGACGAGGTCACCAGGCAAACGCAGTGTGCTGCCATAAACCATCTCGGCTACAGAGCAGGCAAGTTCTGGCCGAAGTGTTGAACGCAGGCGGAGAAGCACGATGGGGAAGTGTGATACCCAATCTTCGGCGTGAGGCTGCGAGGCGAGTGCTGGTTTTAGATGACGGTGGAGTCTCTCCACTAAGCCATTTGGTGCTGGATGATACGCAGTTGTGCGAATAGGCGCACAACCCAGTAGAGATGTGACAGAGGTGGCAAGCGCTGACTCAAACTGTCTGCCTCGATCAATAGTCACCGTTAATGGTACACTGAAACGGCTAATCCAGGTGGCAAGAAAGGTACAAGCAACTGTTTCTGTCGTGATGTCAGGCATTGGAGCTGCTTCAGGCCACCTAGTGTACCTGTCAATACACGTAAGCAAATACGTATTTCCCCGACATGGAGGTAATGGCCCGACAATGTCCAAATGAATGGTGTCGAAACGTGCATCAGGGAGAGGGAATTTCCCCCACGGAGGCTTGGTGTGCCGTTGCACCTTGATACGCTGACATGCTCTGCACGTTCCAACCCAGTAACGAATGTTAGCGCGTATGCGCGGCCAGACATAGCGTGCAGTGACCACATGTTGCGTAGCTCTTACGCCTGGATGGCAGATGGAGTGCAGGGTTTCAAAAACAGCACGACGAAGCTGTGAAGGAACATAGATACGAGTGCAGTTGCGTGAAACATCGCACCAAAGCGTAACGTCGTCGCCGGGAAAGTTGACTTGTTCTAGTCGGAGTGAAGTAGAGGATCGGAGTTGTGGAAGCTCATCGTCTAATGCCTGTGCCTCCGCGAGCGAGGACAATGAAAGGTCGGTGGTGTCTGTCGTGGCATTGATGGTAATACGACTGAGAGCGTCCACTGCACTGTTAAAGCTGCCTTTTACATGCATATGTCTGTGGTGCATTCGGCAATGAAAGCAAAGTGTTGAAGTTCTCTAGGAGTGTGCGTGGCACTGCAGGAACGTAAAGCCGAAACAAGGGGCTTGTGGTCGGTAAGAATGGGAAATTGTCGCCCTTCAAGGAAGTACCTGAAATGCTTCACCGCAAGGTAGGCCACGATGAGCTCCCGTGCGAAAGTACTATATCGGCGCTCACTGTCGCGTAACTTGCGTGAAAAGAAGGAAATTAGAACCCATGCACCATTGATACATTGATGAAGAGCGGCCCCAACTGCTTCTGAAGAAGTGTACGCCATGAGGCTAGTGGGAGCAGTTGGTGAAGGGTGGTGCAGGAGGGTGGCCTGGGCGAGCTTGGTCTTAACAGCGTCAAAAGCTTGATCCGCGACCGTGTTCCAAGGAAGTGCGGCTGACTCGGCTTGCGAAGTCGATAGTAGTGCCTCCAGAGGCTGCAGCAGTGTAGAGCATATAGGGATGAAGCGGCGATAAAAATTGATGAGTCCGAGAAAACATAGTCGACTGCGTATGGACGTGGAAGGCGGGTACTCGAAGATAGCTTGAACCTTGTCAGGTAGAGGAGTGATGTCATCTTTAGTGATGTGATGTCCGAGGAATGCTATCTCCGAGACTCCAGACTGACACATTTCTACATTGATTACAAGGTCGTAATCACGCAGTCGAGTGAAAAGCTGACGTATATGTGCCTTGTGCATTTCAGCGTCCTTGCTGGCAACGAGAAGATTGTCGATATAGGCGAAACAAAACGGCAAGCCTCTTGTGACTTCGTCTATAAAACGCTGAAATGTCTGAGCTGCGTTTCTCAAACCGAAAGGCATTCATAAATACTCATAGAGCCCAAATGGGGTAATTAAGGCAGTTTTGGAAATGTCAAAAGGCTCAATGGGGATCTGGCGATAATCTTTGACAAGATCAATCTTCGAGTATACAGTTGTGCTGGTTAAAAAGGCCGTACAGTCCTGAATATTGGGTAACGGGTATAGATCTGAAACGGTGACTGCATTGAGAGCCGGATAATCACCACAGGGCCGCCAGTCATTGTTCTTCTTGGGAACCATGTGTAGCGCCGACGACCACGAGCTTGATGATGGACGAATGATTTGCAACTGTAACATATGCTCAAACTCGTTGCGAGTAATTTGAAGTTTATCAGGGCCAAGTCGGCGAGGGCGGCAGTGAACCAGTGGGCCTGTGGTAACGATGCAGTGGGTCACAGTGTGCTTGGGGCTCTTATCCATGGGAGACAGCGTTGTAATCTCCGGAAACTCGTTGAGCAGAGTGGTATATGGTGACGTGGGCGGTTTCACGAAAGTGGGGTTTAGGGCCGTAGCGCGTGACAGAAAACCATTGACCGATAAGCCGGTACAGCCATCCACCAGGCGACAGCGGTTCATAACCACGAGCAGATGAAAATGTCTTAAAAAATCGGCGCCTAAGATGGCATAGCGTACGTCTGCTATCCGAAATAACCACTGCAGTTTCCTCTTAAGACCGAGATCAAGGGTCAGAGACTTCTGTCCGTAAGTTGCGATGACCGAAGAATTGATCGCTTGTAAAGAAGTTGACTTCTCGCGAAGACGCCGGACAGTTTTGGACGCTCGCATTATGCTGACTTCTGCTCCAGTGTCCACCAGCAAGCTCAGACCTGTGGTTCTGTCGGTGATGTGGAAGAGGCGGCTTGATGCTTGGCCTCGATCGCCCACAGCTGTTATTGACGATCGGCCGGAGCGTTTCCAATGCGCCATGAGCAAGGTGGCACACATCTGCGAGCCGCGGCACGAAAACGCCGGTGATAATAGCATGTGTTCAGCGGTGAAAAGCAGTGCTCGGGCTAATGGAGGGGCTGTTGCGGAGCAGCCGACGTGATAGATGGTCGATGTGGACGAGGCTGGTCATTTAGGTTGTAAATGCTCAGCAATTGCAGACGCAAGTTGGCGACTTCAGATGCGAGATCTTTTACCGTTTATCGAGGGGAATCTGCTTCGGAAATCGGATAGGTGCTGGCGGCCTTTATGACTGCCGGAGCAACGTCCATCATGTCATCGGCCATTTCGGCCAGCTCCGACAGTGGCTTATCCTGAGCTAAAACAATAGCCATTCGCATGGTATGTGGAAGACGCTGTAGAAACAACTCACGTAGTAGGGATGTTTCCGAGCCGTCCGGCTGGTCGCCAAGCAGGTGCTGCAGGTGACGTAGAAACTGTGTGGGACGGCGGTCCCCAAGCTCTTCGTTGCACAGAAGTTGCTGAATGCGCCGATGCTTAGGCGGAACGAGTCGGTAAAGAAGAGCCTGTTTGACTGTCGTGTATGAAGTGTCACCAGGCGGGCCCACGAGGATGTCGCGTATTTCGGTAATTGCCTGTGGCGGCAATGCTTCAACAG